TGAACCAACCCCTTTTCTCCCTGGAATCCCCTTTGGTGCTGGGGGAAGTCAGTCTGACACCACCCTCACGTTCATATCTTCACCCTGAGAGATTGTTTCCATGCAACCACTTCATGGAAACGAAGGGCTAGTCCTTTGAGATCACAGTGTTTGGATGGTTCACATCAAATTGCAAAGCTAAAATACTAGAACAGCCTCATTTAGCTTCACATTAAAATAATGAAAAGCCTCCTCTCAGTAGTAAATTCTGATACACTTGTCTCCAATAAGACAGCATCCTGTAGGCAATTGTACATTTGTCTTAATGGTGACACAAACTGTTTCTAATTTAAACACATAAATTTAGTACATAATGTTACATGATGGGTGTCTCAGATAAGGCATAAGTGCAATTACTGGCACCGTTACTTTCTCTCTCCAAAAGGAGTTATCCTAGGTCATACGGATGGTTCCTTCAAGCACTAACAGATCTTAAAAAATTTGGCCAATTTCTCTCTTATGCTGTAAGTTATATATAACGTTTTCTAGTTAGAAATGAGACTTGGGTGTGCTTCATTCCTTTGCATGTTTAAGGCAAATAAATTGTGAGAAAAGGCAGAAAAGAGTATTAATTAAGCACCTGTGAAGCACCAAGTCTATTTGTCTATATACCCTGACTGCAGCTTAGGCAACAGTCAGGATTTTATTGCATACTTATTTATAATTGCTTAAATTCAGTGACCCAGTGAATGATATTTCAGTTGTGAAAACTATATGACTTTCATGCTTTTTGGTTTCTTACTGAAGTGTAGTTGATTAATAATATTATACTACTTTATATTTTCAGATTCTATTTTCAGATAACATTCAGTATTTGTCTTTCTCTGACTTACTTCACTAAGCCCAATATTCTTTAAGTCCATCAACATTGTTGCAAATGGCAGAACTTGTCTTTTTTATGACTAATATTTCATTGTATATATATATATATATATATATACACATGCTACATCTTTGTCATTTACCTGTTGATGGACACTTAATGTTGCTTCCATATTTTAGCTATTGTAAATAATTTTACTATGAACATTGGGGTACATGTATCTTTTCAAAGTAGTGTTTTTCATGAATCCTGCAGTAGAATTGCTGAATTATAGTTCTATTTTTAACTTTTTGAGAACCCTCATACTATTTCCCATAATAGCTATACCAATTTACATTCCCACCAACTCTGTTGGATGGTTCCCTTAAAAAAATTTTTTTCACAGTATATACTTTGATACACACACACACACACACACACACACATATGAGTGAAATGGTGTTTTTGTTTTTTTTATGGAAGTACAGTTGATTTACAATGTTGTATTAGTTTCAGGCATACAGCAAAGTGATTATTATACACACATATTTTTCAGATTCTTTTTCCTTACAGGTTATTATAAAATATGAAGTATAGGTACTTGTGCCATGCAGCAGGTCCTTGCTGGTTATCTAATTTAATTAATTAATTAACTTTAAAAAAATTAGTTATTTTTGTGACTGCACCACATGGCACATGGGATCTTAGTTCACTGACCAGGGATTGAACCGAGGCCCTGGGGTGTGAGCGTGCGGAGTCCTAACCACTGGACTGCCACGGAATTCCCGGGTATGTATTTCTTACATAGTAGTGTGTACAGGAGTTTTAATCTCAAACTCTTATCTCTCCCCTGCAGCTTTCCCCTTTGGTCACCATAGGTTTGTTTTCTATGTCTGGGGGTCTGTTTATTTCTGTTTTTTTTTTTTTTTAAGTTTATTTGTACTTTTTTTTCTTTTTAGATTCCACATATAACTGATATCATATGGTATTTGGCTTCCTCTGTCTTACGTCACTTGGTATGATAACCCTGAGGCCCATCCATGTTACTGCAAATGGCTGTTGGCTGGGGCCAAGTCTCAGTCCCCAAACAGTAACTTCTGCGAGAGCTCATGAATGAGTATTCCCTGAGTGTCCTTGTCCCCACAGTGAGCCACAGCTGCCTCCCCAGGAGACCCTCAAGACCTGCAGGTGGGTTTGGCCCAGAGCCCTCTGGAGTTGCTGCTTTGGCCTGGGTCCCAGTGCGTGTGAAGCCTTGTGTGTGCTTCCCAAGAGTGGAGTCCCTGTTCCCTGTGGACTCAAGCCCCACTGACCATCAAAGTCAAATGCTCTGGGGACCCCTCTTCCCAATGCCTGACCCCACCCCAGATTGTGCAGCCTGACGTGGAGCTCAGAGCTGTCACTCCTAGGGGAGAATCTCTGGGTTTTAATTATTTTCCAGCTCGGGGGTTCTCCCACGTGGAAGGTATGGGATTTGATTGTACCATGAAAGTACCCCAACTTTTTGGCTATAGAATATAGCCTTAGCCTTTGGATATTGAGTATCTTTTCTGGTAGGTTGGAGTCTGTTTTCTCGGTGGTTGTTCAGAAGTTGGCTATGATTTTGGTGTTTTCATGAGAGGAGGTGGACTCAAGTCCTTCTACTCTACCATCTTGTCTGGATGATTTCTTTCAGTAAAGCCAGAACACCTGTGCCTAGAGATGACGGACATCCCTGATTTCCCCTCTTCTTCCTTCTGTTTGCCCTGCCTCCTCTGGCTGGGGCCTCGCTCTGGGGGGAAGGACCTGATCCCTGCTGATCCCCACATTGGGGCCCACTGGAGCCCATCGCCACTGAGTCAGCGTGGTCTCAGGCTGCCGCTGAGCCTCCCGCATTGACATTTTCTATTGTTTTTCTGCTCTCCGCTTTACTGACTCCCTTTGATTGTTATTTCCTTCCCTCTGTTGACTTTGGGCTTTGCTTATTGTTCTTTTCAACATGAGGTTAATTGAGACTTTTTCTTGTTTTCTTGAGATAGGTCTGTATTGCTATAAACGTCCCTCTTTAGAACCACTTTTGCTGCATCTCATACATTTTTGGAAAGATGTGTTTTCATTTTCATTTGTCTTCAGGTATTTTCTGATTTCCTCTTTGATTCCTTCACTGACTTTTTTTTTTTTAGTAGCATGTTGTTTATTCTCCATGAGTTTGTGCTTTTCCCATTTTTCTTTCTGTAATTGATTTTTAGATTCATACCAGCATGCTTTTTCTAATATATAGTACCTCTCAAACAAAAATGCATTTGCAAATTTAAGGCTTAAATTTATAAAAAATATTCGACTAAAATAACTTTCCTAACTTCCTAACTGAAATAACCTTATTCAATTAGAAAAAAACCACCTCATTTCCATATGCAACGATTTTAACATCCATATGCTTCAGAAAGCCGCTGGCAGTTTTAACAATAGCAGTTGATATTTACTGTCATCGTGATACAAGTAATATGCTAGGTAATTTATAGGTATTTTATTTAATGTTAACAAGCCTGAAAAGTAGACAGTATGCCTATTTTATTATGGAGAAAAATAGAGGCTAATAGGAATTAAGTGACAAGTGCTTGAATCGAGAATCACTTCCAATCCTGATTGATGCCAGTCTTTGTTCTACAGCCTTTCAGGTCCTTTAAATTTCTAGAACACATTGACTTTTTTATTATGTAATAATAGTAATATTCTAATAATCTTACTCAAATTAAAAATTCCAAAGGCCTGAGAGGCAAAGAAAATGAAGGTTAAAGACAACCACTAAACTCAGAAGCCAGCCAATGTGCAGTCTTGCACGAAACACCCGAGGATCAGCTACATTCACGTAGAAGAGCAACAACATCAGAAAGCATGAAACATGAAGCCTCCCGATTTCCCATACTTGGCTTGTATACAAATGGCACTGGAATAAGCAACACATTGACACCACCAAGTATCAATATTGATAACTCTGTCATCATGTTCTCCCTTTAGAAGAATGAGTGGAGAACAAGAGTGGAGTTTGTTATAAATGTAAGAAGTCCTGATTATAATTCTGCTCAGCCAACAACAAAGATCACAGGGAGCCCTGAAGTACTTTTATGTCAACTGGACTTTGGTTGTATGCTTGGATCTCCATCCATGAGGGAAAATAATAAAAGTGAAGATTAAAACATCAAGCCTTGGAAGCAGATGACCAATTGTTGGACCTAGAGGGTGGACTATAATAATAAAGAATGTTTTTCTCTGGTAATTGACACCCCTGTATACCATGTGAATCAAATGTTCATTTCACACACAAGTTTTAGTACATGTACAATGCTTTTGTGTTTTATTGTGGGGGTGGGTTGTGATAAGAATTCAAGAAGTAAAGCATAAAAGAAAATATGCCTAATGAAACTCTTCTGTGCCATTAATTCTAAAAATTCTAAAATATTGAAAATGTGGACCAAAAAGCATCACCTGCCATTTCAGTAAACAACAAATTATGTCCACCATCAAGCCATCAGCCACTGCAGCTGCCCCTGATGACACACCCTGAGGGAAATTCAGAATGGAGAAAAACAGGATACTGGCCCTGGGTGTTTAAGATGCCTGTCAAAGAAATAATTTCAGTTGGTCTAGAAACTTGCATTTTCCCATTCACAGAAAAGCACTAAAATCATTAACTTGAAGATGTCTTTTGTACGTGTGTGATCAGTAATAATCTTTTGATGTTTGACTAAAAATTTTTTTCAGAGGTAACTCCTACCATAGACTTCCACCTGGGCCTAGAGCAGTTTTTATTTTTTATTTATTTATTTTTCATTTATTTTTATTAGTTGGAGGCTAATTACTTTACATCATTGCAGTGGTTTTTGTCATACATTGAAATGAATCAGCCATGGATTTACATGTATTCCCCATCCCGGTCCCCCCTCCCACCTCCCTCTCCACCCGATCCCTCTGGGTCTTCCCAGTGCACCAGGGCCGAGCACTTGTCTCATGCACCCAACCTGGGCTGGTGATCTGCTTCACCCTAGATAATATACGTGTTTCGATGCTGTTCTCTTGAAACATCCCACCCTCGCCTTCTCCCAGAGTCCACAAGTCTGTTCTATAAAGTAGTGGGGAGAGGCGGGCGGGTTGGGACTACCTCAGTACAGCCGCCGGCAGTATCATGGCGACCCGGAACCTCCCTTCCCAAGAATATGAAAGTGATGGTGAGTCTTACGAAGCATTGGACTTAACTGAGTATGCCAGAAGACACCACTGGTGGAATCGGGTGTTTGCCCGCAGCTCTGGACCTATGGTAGGAAAATACTCAGTAGCCACCGAGATTGTAATGGGTGGAGTGAGTGGCTGGTGTGCGGGATTTTTGTTCCAGAAAGTTCGAAAACTTGCAGCAACTGCAGTAGGTGGTGGCTTTCTTCTCCTTCAGATTGCCGGTCACGGTGGCTGTGTGCAGATCGACTGGAGGAGAGTTGAAAAAGATGTAAACAAAGCAGAAGGACGATGAGGAAACCAGCAAATGAGGCAGCACCCAAAATCAGTACTGGAAGAAGCAACAGAATGTGTCAGACTGAACACTGTGGTATCCAGTGGGTCTGCGGGAGGCTTTGTGCTAGGCCTTGCATCTTAAGAAGGCGGATGTTCTGTCACAGTGGGATCACCTCTGAGAAGAGACTTGGTGGTGGCAAGATGGTCTCGACCTTACACATTGACAGGTTCTCCAGGATGGATGACAAGAACAGCTAGCTGGACAGTACCAAGCTCACTGCTTAGCATTTTGCCATCTGAAATTTGACAAACGAGTTATCTTCTGTAAAATGACCTATATAATATATATATATATAATAGTATCCCTGATATATATATATATATATAAAATAGTATCCCTGAGCAAAACGTGGCTTTCATTTTTTTTTTTTTAATTTGTGTTTGTTTAAAATTTGCCTGTAAAACACTACTATTGGATGTAGATATGGAGAGATTAAAAAAATCTGTTGGACATATTCCCCAGTAGAATATTATCTTCATTTTATTTTAAAAAAGAAACAAAACTCCTACATATCCTGTCCCCTCTTTCCCTCTTAGTAATAGTCCTCCTGAGCTTTCTGAGGGGATGCCTTCCCAGACTCCAGTCCTCAGTACAAAATATAATTCTAAATTTTTAGGTTGTGTGTGTCTGTGGTTTTTTTTTTCCCAGTTGAGTTTTGTTAACCAACAAAGGGATCCAGAACAGACTTCTCTCCCTCACTTGAACTCTACAAGGAACAGGAGGTTTGGTATCAGCAGAAGCCCCCTTGATCCTGTTTGCCCTTCCTCAAGAAGTCCAGATGAGTTAAGGTGAGTCTCTCTTAGGTCTCAGACATCTGGTTATTAGCAGAAGAGATTTTGTTGTTGTTGTTCAGTCACTAAGATACGTCCGACTCTTTGTGACTTCATGGACTGTAACACTCCAGGGCCCCCTGTCCTCCGCTATCTCCTGGAGTTTGCTTAGATTCATGACTTTTTTTTTTGATTCATGACCATTGAGTCGGTGATGCCATCCAACCATCTCATTCTCTGTCGTCCCCTTCTCCTCCTGCCCTCAACTTTCCCAGAATCACTGTCTTTTCCAGAGTCGGCTCTAGACATCAGGTGGCCTAAGTGTGGGAGCTTCAGCATCAGTTGATTGAATGCTCAGGGTTGATCTCCTTTAGGATTGACTGGTTTGATCTCCTTGCAGTCCAAGGGACTCTGAAGTGTCTTCTCTAGTACCACAATTTGAAAGCATCAATTCCTCAGCACTCGGCCTTCTTTCGACTTCCTTTGTGGCTCAGTGAAGAATCTGCCTACAATGCAGGAGACCCTATTCAATCCCTGGGTCAGGAAGATCCCCTGGAGGAGGGCGTGGCAACATACTCCAGTGTTCTTGCCTGGAGAATCCCATGGACAGAGGAGTCCGGCAGGTTACAGTCCATGGGGTCACAAAGAATTGGACACGACTGAGCGACTAACATACACACACAGCCTTCTTTATGGTCCAACTCTCACATCCGTACATGACTACTGGAAAAAGCATAGCTTTGACTTTGATCTTTGTTGGCAAAGTGATGTCTCTGCTCTTTAATACGTTGTCTAGGTTGGTCATAGCTTTCCTTCCAAGGAGCAAGATACTGTTTTATTTGGTGGTGGTTCAACTCCTGCCTTAAGAAGCAGGTTTTCTTAGAACCTTATTTGCAAGGAGAGGTACCTGGCTTATCCTCCGTTGAAAGACACTGGGAAGATTTAATATGTACCTACAGAACTTAAACTTCCAGTACTTAACAGGAAATTAAAGGAAATCTTGCCCTTAAGATGGCCAAACTGAGATTCTTTTGAGGTTACAGAATTAATTTTTGTGTGTGTGCACAGCTAGAGAAAATCCAGCTGGATAAAACACCTTTTCACAATTCTGTCCTTAAAGTAACAAAAGCCTTTCTAGGAAGGACCTGCTTTCCTCTCCCTGTGTATTTGGAATGTAAATATTCCACCTGAACTTAGGCACCCCTCCTTGCAATCCCCTGTCCTGGCCTGCTCTGGTTTGAGACCTGGGTCTCTCATCCAGAAGGCACACATTTGGTGCACATTTGGCAGCCCGTTGGACAGACTGGAATTCCGAGCTCTCCTTTTGTCTGGCTGTGCCAGCTCCCGAGGACAGTTGTCATGAGGGCCCCAGCCCTTGGTCATCTTCCGCTTCATTTTGCCTGCCTGTACAGTGATGGCCCCCACTTTCTTAGACTTTGGGGAAGTAATCTTTGTAGCTGTTGTGAAGGCTACATGCTTGGCAGTCCCTTGTGGGAACACGTGTTGCACCTCATTGGTGTGAGTTGCTATAAAGATACTACTTGTCAGTGACCAGGTGATGGGCCCTTTAAATTGGAAAAGGTATTAAATTGGTAGATATTTAGAGAGCTCTCATTTTAAACAGCTGTTGTATTGGTACCTTTGCAGGGTAGGGGGGGAGGTGTGGAAATTAGAAGGTTTTATATATATGTGTGTGCGTGCTCAGTCGTGTCCAACTCTTTGTGACCCCATGGACTGCAGCCCACCAGGCTCCTCTGTCCATGGGATTTCCCAGAAAGCCAGCAAGAACCCTGGAGGCACAGAGACACCCCACACCCATCACACACACGTATATAACCTAGGAACTCCCTTAGTTTAAAATAAGCAAAAGTTTGGGAAACATTTTTTGTGGTCTAGACTTCCTCTCAGTCTTACAGTTGCTAATAAAACATGAGATTGTTAATTAGATTAACAGGGAAGTAAGAAGCTGATGGAAAGTCTAAAGACTTCTAGCCAACAAGGTGGACATTTTAAAGGGACTTGTTCCAAAAGGATAAAAAAAAAACCCCAAAACTTCAGGTAGTTCTCAAGAAATGGGGCAGATAAAACAGATATTAATAGGATTAAAACAAAGGTTTGATACAATGCTACCTAGTGTTGGAGACCAATAAGGGGTCGCTTTGTTCCATTTGACCTTGAAGGGCCCCAACCCTGTCTACTGTATTTACCTTAGTTTAAACAGTACATATATATTTAGCAGACTGGAAAAAATTACACTGAGATATCTGACCAGCAATTGCTTGTGGCAACGTTAGGCCAACCAATCAAGTTAAAAGATTAAAATTGCCTGAGTCCACTGGTTCAGCTCCTCACTGGGAACCTCAAAGCCTTTTTACAAAAAAAAGTAGATAAATGGCTGGAGGATAAAAAGGAAAGCTTCTGGGACTCCTAATAAGACCACGGCTTGTTGATGATGGGGTTCTATTGAAAACTGAAGTTAAAGGTATAAAACTGAGATGAAAGTTTCTAAACATTGGTATATTTCCATGGGCTTTATATGACATGGTTACATCTCCTGTGCCTAATTAGATTGTGTGATGGACCTTGTATCTCACTGGGGAATGTGTCCCCTGCCTACTTTAAGATGGGGCGTATACATCTGCCCCTAAGGTGATATTAATTAAACATACTGAAGGAAAGTACTAGCGTTACCTAAGCCCACAAAATATTAAAAACTAGGGTTCATAAAAACAATAATAGAGTTTTTTTGCTCTGAGTTTGACTTCTGCCCTCAGAAACAGGGTCTTTGTGGAATACCTTGTGCAAACTTTTGAAGCCCTGACGAGCTGAATCCTAAAATTCTAGAATATGGAATTCCTGATTTTCAGTGTAGTTGGAAATCTTATTCATTAAAAAAAAAAAAAGAAAGAAAAAAACTAAAGAAAATGTAGCTGGGCAAATCGATCTTTTTATACCATTTAGGTGGCAAATCCGTTCTTAGGAGAATTAAAAGCAACTGTCTAGCAAATCTCAACAAATCAAAAATTTAAGTACAGTCCACAATGACTTGAGACTGAGCCTGATTACCTCAATCAGATGGAATCTGAAACCAACGGGAAAAAAGGGGGAGGGGGAGAAAGCCTTTTTAAACTGAAACCTCTGAAAAAAATTTCCCTCACCAAAAGCAAATTCACAGCTTCATTAAGGATTTGTCGTAGACAAATACAATCTTAAGTCTTTTCCACAAATAGTAAAGCCTTAATCATCTGAGTAAATAAACTTATTTCACTGTTATAAACTAGTAAGTTTATGTTGTAATGCCTTACTCATAACTAACGTTTTAAAGCTCTAAGATCTCTAGTATGTCTGAGCAAATTATCCATATGCCTCTCTCTCCTCTAGTATTCCCAAAATTTATAAAAGAGCTCTAATTTACTTAAAAGTAAGTGTTTGCAAGTTAAATATTTCTAAGTATGAAGAAAACTGGCCAGATAGAATTTTAGGTTCATGTAATCCAGGAAATACTAATATCTGGTATTAAAGCTATCTTAAGCTTGTTGGCTTAACCAATAGACCTATCTTATTTTTATTGTACCTAGGTGTTTTGAAGGTCAGTAAGTTAATTATGTCTGTTGCAACGTTTGTCAGCAAGTAGAATTAACCTGGTGTATTGTTTTTTTAAGTTATAAAATATAAAGAAGAGTTTTCTGGTGAACTCTTTAGGAATAATGTTTTGGATCTACCTAAAATAGTTTCTCCAGATTTTTGGTAACTTGAAACTTTAGAACTTTGCTAAGGTAAATGGTAGCATTTACTGAATATCCAGATTATTTCAAGTAAGATAAAATCCTGGAACATTAATTGCTGAAAACTAAAGATGTTTGGTTATTAGACACATCTTGTAGCACATTGAGGAGAGATACTCTAGAGAAAGCGCATGTTTCTAGGGGTTATAGAATATGTTCATAAGTTTACCAATAAAGAAATACTGGTGTGTTCATAATTGCTTGCTTCTTAGTTTTCACCAGAAATCAAGGTTTTTAAGGATTGGGAATTAAGCTACTGGAAATATTTTAGTATGCAAGGAAAGTAGGATGTGTGTTTTCAGCAAAAGAAGGTATGAGGAATGGAAATGTGTTGTGTTAAGAGAAAAGAGATTTTTGCCTTAAAGCTGATTAATTCTAAATGCAAAAGAAAAATGAAGAATAA